TAGTGAGGCTACAGTTGTAATAGCTATAGTCTTCCAAGCTCCTCCACCCGATCTGCTGATCTGTACATCTGGTGAGCTGTTATATCGAACACTTAAGTTCGTTACAATGATTCAGTCAGTTGATCTCGCTTGCTGACAGTTTTCCTCCTCCTTCTCTTCCTTCTCCTCCATTTTCTTATTCGTTTTAGTCTTCTTCTTCTCCTTCCTCCTCGTCCTCCTCCCCTTCTTCGTCTTCTTACATAGAACGTCAAATGTCCTTGAAAAAATCAAAATCAGGCGGGTGGGTGAGTGGGTGGTTAGATAGATGGGTCGATGGATTCCCCGAACATTACAACGTAATTTATTTTAAAATTAACTGAAGGAAACAGCGCGTGGGAGACACGCACACCTCACGCCTGCTTGTTGTTTAGGGAGGGATTTAAATGAATACTGCAGCGCGAACAGCCACAGACGGCCCATTCGCCTGTAACTTAATAATTATACTTTTATATAAAGCACATTTATCACTGAGCTGTATTTAATAACAGTATTATTTATAGCATCACATGCGCAACACGTTTATCATTACTCTATATGTTACCTGTAATCGTGGCGCTTGTAGGCGATAACGGAGAATGAAGCTAGGAAACCTTGCACATTCCATGGCGAGAGAAGATGGAGTACTGACTGGCGAACAATGCGAACAAAGCATGTCACGTGTTCGAGAAAGAAGCCAGTTTCTGTAGAGCTGATGAGCTGTTATATCGCTCTCAAGTGTTCGTTGCAACGATTCATTCAGTTGATCTCGCCTGTTGACAGTGGCACAGTGATTGGCTGAAGCACAACTTTTGATCCTCCTCCTCCTCCTCCTCCTCCTCCTCCTCCTTCCTCCTCCTTCTCTCCTCGCGGTTTCGTTCTTTTTCTTTCATCTTCTCATTCTTCTCTCTTTACTTCTTTTTGCTTTTTCTTCGCCGTCTTCTTCTTCTTCCTCCTTCTCCTCCCTTTCTTCGTCTTCTTACATAGAACGCCAATGTCCTGACAAAAACTTTGCGGCCATATCCACCGTAGCGCCAACCGCTCACCTGCTACTCGGATCTGCTAAACAATGTGATGAGGTCAAATAATCGCACGTAGTAATGTGACCGAATTAAAGGAAAGTGTGAATAATATATATATATATATATTAACAGCGGCGTGGCGTGAGTGAGTTGGGTGGCTGGTAGATTGGATCGTGTGGTTGATTTGCGCCGTCCATTATAACGTTAATTTATGTTTTAAAACTAACTGAAGGACATTAGCGAGGGAGATCTCAAACTCGACGCCTCGTTGTTGCTTTAGCGGAGGAA